GGCCGGGGCCGCCCCCAGCCCGCCTGCCGCCGCCGCGGTGAACTTTCCGCAGCGCGCGCGGCCCGCCTCCCTGCGCACCCCCACCCCTGCCCGGGCGGGGAAGGAGCCATGGCTTCCCGAAAACGCAGGAATGAAGTGCGGTTTCTGGGGCTGGTGGCCTGGGGCTGCGGAGCTGCCAGCAGGGAACCCGGCGTCCCGGAGCGGCCGGGCTGGGGTTCCGAGCCCGGTTTAGCGCTCTCTGAGGTGCCTGCGGTTTCTGTTAATAACCTTGGAGGAGGCTCTGCGAGCCGAAAGACCATCTTGCTTTGGAGCATCTGTTTCTTCAACGCGTCAGCCCCTTTCCTAACACTGCAGAGCTTGTTGTGGCTTGTTTCGGAAATGCCGAGACCAGTGCTCACACTTGAGGGTGGGAGAGGGCAAGAGTCTAGGCAACCCCCAAAAACGCTGCAGTGAGATCTCCACAAAGACTGCTTGCAGATTCTCCGTCGCACCTTCATTGACTTGAATGACCTTGGGAAAAGAATTGTGCTTTTAAGCTCCTGGTACCTTATTTGTCGGTTGAAGAGAAAATACTCTCTGGACTTCCCTGCCTTTTGGGGATATTTTGAGAGATAGGGTTTGTTCAGGGTTTTTTTACAAACTGCTGCAGTGCAGGCCTAAGGATCTGGTCTAGCGTAAGAACCGGGGGTAATCCAGATCACCTAATAAGATTTTACTACCTCATATTAGGGAGGGAGGGGTTTGGATTTTAGTGGGAATATTTCCGTTCTGAGAATCTGTCCGGTATGTTCCAGATTGCTTTCTGTCACTCCATATGAGTGTTTGGTGTGGTTAAATGGAATAACCTCCACAGAAAATTCTTCTTTTTTTAGAAGTAATTATTTTGCTCAGAATTCCCCTTGGGGCAGATTAAGGTTTTGCTCAATTTACTCAGAAGAATTTTCCAGGTTTCTAAAATTAAATCACTTTTCTAAACATAGTAACTCAGGTTTGAAAAACTGGAAATAATAGGATGGGAAGGGAGTTGATTAGAGAGTGAACAAGGAAGCAGATACAGGTTCATTGTCCTGTGATTACTAATAGGGATTGTGAATTAGCCTCGATTAGTAGGTATTTTTCTTACTCTTAAATAATTTAAGACCAAGAAAGGAAACTAATATTGTTGAGTTGCTTACTCTGCTCAGTAATTGTGCTAGGTGGGGTATCTCTCACATAGTCTTTACAACAATGCAGTGAAGTGGTTGGTAGTTGGCATCTCTGTTTCACGGATGAGCAAACTGAGGGTCAGAAGGTAAAGTGACTTTACTATTTATAAATACAACTAGTAAGTGGAACTGAAATTCAAATGCAAGTCTTTTTTTGAGGTCCATGGTTATCTCTGCTAGGCATACTGTGTTGGGAACCAAGAGGCCTATTTTCTATGCCATTGACTCAGCCCCTAGGTCACTGTGGACCCTACCTAGACTAAGTCAAGTCTAGTCCCCAATAATATTGCCTTCTCTTCTTCCAGCAATATTAGCATGTTTTTGAGATGTCCTAGTTTTTTGGTAGAAAGACATACAAGACTGTGGTAGTATGTCCTATATGCAGTAGGTACTTTAATAATTTTTTTCTTGTGGAATACCTACCTAGGTGATCATTGATTGCATTTATGAAATGGAAGATCCAGTTAAGTCTAGTCCCCAATAATATTGCCTTCTCTTCTTCCAGCAATATTAGCATGTTTTTGAGATGTCCTAGTTTTTTGGTAGAAAGACATACAAGACTGTGGTAGTATGTCCTATATGCAGTAGGTACTTTAATAATTTTTTTCTTGTGGAATACCTACCTAGGTGATCATTGATTGCATTTATGAAATGGAAGATGTTAGATAGTTAATGGTTCTTCCACTAATCGAGGTGACATTCATGATCAGAAACCGAACCATTTTTCATGTAACATACCTTACTGGGATAATGTCAGCTTATGAAAAAAGCACATTATATGCAGGTAGGACCCAGATAGTCAAGTCGAAAGATGTTATATAAACTTTCAAGCACGTAATAGATACTCAGTAAATGTTTGCTGAATGAATGAATGAATGTATACATTCTTTTAAGTCGTAGTTTGTGATGTATACATGACAGATGTATATAGCTGTGTGATCACCACTACTGCCTTCTTTTGTTTAAACTGTGTTATCTTTTAGGTATTGGTTAGCAGAGTGATCCCTGGGAATGTTGGGAAGTTTCTATGTTCGGATTCAACACTGGTAGAGTCAAAGTGAATACTACAAGAGTCATTGCGCTAATAACTTCATAGGAAATAGGAAAACCTTATGTATTTAATGGTGAGGTGCATGAAGAGATTAAGAGAAGTAGAGATGGGGGCACTTGTCAAATCAAGGGAAATATAAACTTGTGGGGAACCAGGTTTTTATTATTTTTAGGACAGAGGATTCATTGTGAAGGAAAAACATACCCGAAGATTATTAAGGAGTTGAACTTTTATTTTTGTTTCCTTTTCAAAATTGTAGCTTCTCAAATATAAAACTTAACATCTTTGGCTATATTTAAGAAGTGCTTACCTATTATGGTTGTTCAAATAATTCTTAAGGGTGGGGATGTTATAAAATGATTGAAGGCCTTACCCTTCCACCTATGACAGAATATCCTTAGTGTTTATCTTTAACTTGTTTAGCTAATATGCCACAAAGGGAATACCTTAGGTAGAAGTTGTATCTTGCTGGGAAGACATAAACTATTTTTTCCTTCTCATAATTTCTCAAGTCACTGAACCTGCCCCAATCTGCTTTCATTTAAGTCTGTCTTAGAAAATGCTTAAAACCTGTTACTGAGCTTCTAGAAGAAGCCCCATTTTTACCTCTTTCTCCTTCTTGTTTCTTTTTATCCATTCTATTTCTGTATGTTGACAGTTTTATAATCATCCTCTCCCACCCCTGGATCCTGAGAATGGAAACTTCTCAACCATTGGGCCTCCATATACCATTAGGAAATAATAATTAAATTAAAATACCAGTCTACTAACTCAACATTTTGGCTTATGACCGGGAGAAAATAATAACTCTATGAGGTAGTCATTATCATGAGGGAGCTGAGCTTGGAGCAGTTACTGCCAGAGCTAGTGAGGGGCAGACCATTGATTTGAAGTCAGATATATGATTGATGCTCAGGTTTGGGATCTTTCTGTTTCATTGCACTCTCTGGTGTACTGGGGTTGGGGGCAAGAAGGAGGTGACAAGGGAAGTGCTTGAAAATACCCTATTAAGTTCCAAACATAACAAGCATTGCTAACCTTTTTAGGCATTACCGTTTTCATCTATTCCTTTCTTAATTTCTGGAGATACTGTCTTACACACCTCCTTATAAATTCTAAAGAATTTATAGCTCATCCTTTATTGCAAAACTCCCTTCCCAGACCCAGCATTTATTCTTTATAAACATGGTACTTTGTATTTACTGGCTGTTCGATTTACCACTCCCCCTGTTTTGTATGTATCTGAAAGCATCATGTTAATCAGTCAATCAAGACTCTACATATTTGCCTATGTTCCTCTATTTCCATTTTATCTGGACAGAGTAATGTTTTAAAAATGTGCATTATGTTATTAAAAACTTGCATACAGTTTAAAAACTTATTACAGCTTTTATTGAAGTATGTGATACACACACACACACACACAGAAACATACACATATCAAAAAAGTACAATTTGATGACTTTTTTTATGAACTGAATGTACCCATGTAACCAGCACCCAGTACCTAGAAGACTCAATCAAGTGCTCTTTCAGTTCCTGATGCCTTTCCACCCTCTCCCCTGCAGGGTGACTTCTAACAACATAGATAAGTTTTGTCTGTTTTCATACTTTTGTAAAAGTAGAATCATACAGCATGTATTCTTTTTGGTCTGGCTACTTTTATTTAACACTATGTCTATGAAAGTGCAAAAACTTAATGGTTTTCTTTTTAGCTTGGAATAAAATCCAAATTTAAAGTCTTTGTCTTGGCCTATAATGCCTTATATGAAATCTGGCCCATGCCTGCTTCTGCAACTACATCTTAAGCCAATATCATTGTCCATTATGCTCCAGTCACATTAGCTTCTTATTTATTTATTTTTAAACTCAGAATATTCTTTCCTGCCTCAAGG